TAAAGGAATGAAAGGAGACAGGCCTGGGGCTGCCTGGCTGACAATTGACCGAGGGTGTGGGGCAATCCCCAGCTCAACTGAGCAGTCTGAACTTGGGGTAGGAAACAAACAGGAAGGCAAATCAGTCCTCTAGCTCACGGAAGTGAGTGGTGGGGCCTGGTGATTGCGAACTCGACGACCCTCAGAACTGGGAGTTTCCTATGACATCATGTGGTCCAACATCCTCTCCCAGGAGCCAAAGCAACACCGTCAGGCCAAGGTCATAAGCGAGGGGCAGAGGGCCAGTCTCAGCGAGGGAAGCCTTCCGCTCACTTGCAGACGCTGACCCATTCGGTGATGCGGCACTCCTCGCAGACCACGAAACAGCACCAGTGGAAGCGGCAGTGGCAGCGCTCACTGCGCGTCTGGCGCAGGATGTTATGGCCGCGACCACAGCACATGCTACCACAGCCGTCGGGGCCCGAGCTGCTCTTGTTGCACAGGCGGCCCACGGTGCCCGCAGAGTCCAGGCGCGGCTCGTGCTCGCAGAAGTCAGGCGACTTCTCGAAGTAGACCAGGTCGGCGGAGTTCGCCCGGCGGCGCGGCCCGGGAATGCCAGGGGCCGGTGAGGGTGCCCCGGCGGGGCCCGGCTCCAGCTGGCCACCGTTGCGGTTGTGCGGCCGGATGAGCGTGGCGCGGTGAAAGCGGCTGCGCAGCAGCGCCCCCACGGCGCGGAACTCCGGCGTCACCTGCCAGCACGTCTTGAGCTGGCAGCTGCCTGACGTGCCGTGGCACTTGCACTTTCGCCGCATGTTCTCCATCACCGCCTGCAGAGGGAGGCACCGTGAGGGGTGACGCCAGGGGCCGGCCACACCGCCCTCCTTCTAACACTAGACATTGGCCTGTGAGAATCAGAGGCTTTTGAAACCAATTCCATTGAACAGAGGCAAAAGCTGAGACCTGAAGCAGGCTTGGGAGGCGGGGGTGGCACAGCTCCTGAGCCAGACAGTCAGGAGAAGAACTCTGCCTGCTCTTCTGCTGCTCTCCGCCACCTCCAGTCAGGCCAGGCCCTGGGGGAATTCCCTCCTTCCTGCTCCCCTCCTCTCCTGCTCCGCTTTCCCCAGCACCTGCAGGGGGCCCTTGGGGCTTGAGGCTCTTGCTTCCTGAGGGGGGATCCCAGATCCTCAGGGAAATTCCCTCTCCTTCCATCCCTCAGGTGGGAGCCAGGAGCAGGGGTGTACTGGCCCCACTACACCCCAGCCCCAAAGCCTCTGGCCTTGCTCCAGGCTGTTAGTAGGGGATGCAGGGAGTTTGAGAAAGCCCCTTTCCTCTTCCAGGCCCTGCAACCCTTTGCAGGGAGCCTAAGGAGGGGGCAGGCAGGAGTTGGGGAGACATTCCTTCCCCCCATTATACTGGCTGGGGCTCATTCTGCCCAATGCTGAGTGCCACATCTCCTCTTGGGAAACAGTGAAAACACCAACAGGGTCCAAAGGCTCTACGTGAACACAGAACGGGAACAGAACCCAGACAGCCAGACCCCCAACCCAACGAAAGTTGAGAGAGAGGCTCCCAGACCTCCGAAGGAGGTAGTTCCTGGAACACAACCTACCATGCCCTGCCCAGTTCTCAACCTGCTCTGGAGTCTCCTCCCAAAGAAGCCCTGGGCATTATCCTCACCAGAGGCCCCAGAGGAAGCTGACCACATCCTCCTCTCACCCCGCTCCACTCCAAAACCACACCCTCAAACAAGGAGAGCAACGATCCAGGGCCCTTAAACCTCTAGTAGGGCCATAAGAGAGGAACCCTGCCTCTTTGAGCCTTAAAGGACTCCAAAGCTTGTATGCACAGCCTGTGGTGTCAGCACCACATGGGAACCAGCCCAATGCCTCCGCTGGCCAACAGCTCCAGAACATCTGCTTCCCACAGGCAGCAGCCATTAATTAACCAGTTTAATGAGGAGGAGGAGTCAGTTTGGGCTGGGATAGTATCGAAGCTTGGGAAAAGAGCTGCATGGACAGGGCAGGGCTGGGTGGAAGCTGGACATGACCTGAGGATGGATATGCCTCAGTTTACCTCACCTCTAAGTTAGAACGGGAAGAGCTGAATCAGCTTGGAGTCTTTGTGGAAGAAGAAGTTGAACCAGCCTGAGCTGAGAGGCCAGGAGAAAGGGGAGTGAAATGAAGGTGCCAGCCAGAGCGAGGAGAAGCCAGGACCAAGGCCTGAGCAGGCCCAGCTGAGAGAAGGCATCAGAGCCAAATAGCCAGGAAAGGAGGATGCTGAGCTACCATGAGGGTTGAGGAGGGAAGGTAGTGTAGGTGAGCAAATAGTGTAGACTACACTCTAAGCAAAAGAGCCTGGCCTCAGAGCTCAACCGCCTGGAGATAAACCCTGACTCTCCCACTTCCTCACTAGTTACATCGCCTTGGGCAGGTTTAGTCTCTCTGCACCTCATTTTCCATATCTTAACCCGATCCATATCTTAACCCGAGGATCAAAATAGTACCCTCATAGGTATTTGGATGGATTAAATAGGCTAATAGGTAGGAAAGTGTTCCAGATAGTCTAACACACGGTAAGCACTCAATAAATGCAAGTTATTATTCCTTTCCTTTCTTTCTTCTTCTCCTTCCCCCACCCCAAATTAATGACCTTTGAGGTAGTATGAGCATTTGAGGGTAGGGGAGAAAGGAGAAGGCGACTAGGACACAGTTCCACAGTGGCCCCTAGGAACCTCGCTTTGAGGAGTTCCCCACTGTGCACAGAAAGGTTGGGAGAAGAGGGCAGTTGCAGCAGAATCATGGAACAGAATCATGGAACACTAGAGCTTACGGGGCCTTATGGATGATCCAGCTCAACCTATTTGCTTTTAAAGGGGAGGAGACAGAGTGGCAGCGCCAGTCCTAAACCCCGGAGGTCTGACTGCAACCCAGTCTCTCCACTGCTCCCAGAGGAAATAGGCAGAGCAGGATGCTCAGCAGAGGGTGAGCTAATGAGGGCAGGGGATGTTTCTGCCTTCTATCCCTAGGCCTAGTCCAGTGCCTGGCACATAGTAGAAATTCAATGCATTTTTGTTGACTGAATTAGGAGGGGGCAATAGGAAAGTTGCTAAGTGAGCAGGAGCTGTGTGGTCCCCAGAGGAGAGACAGGCTGGGGCAGGGGAGGGGCTCTAGGCAGAGGGATTTGGAACAGGGGTAGAGGATAGGGGGTGACTCTCACCTGCCTCCCCACTCGGTTGTTGTGGAGCCTCATGCGTGCGTGGATGTCTCTATGAGGCTCCCGGGAGTCCAGAAAGTCCTTAGAGAAGCGCTCCCCGAAGCCCACGTCAGGGCTGCAGCCGCCCCACTCCCAGGAGTCCTGCAGGCCAGGGCTGATAGGGGGCAGGGCTGGGTGCTCGGGAACCCCGTGGCTCAGGCCCTTACCACGCTGCAGCGCGTCCAGCTGCAGGCGGTGAAGCTTCCGACGGAACGCCTCCTCGTCCCCGCGCCTGGATGCGTCGCAGCCGCACGCCCTCAGTTTTCCCAGGGCGCAGGCATTGGACACGGCGTGAACTACTCCCGCAGCTGCTATGGCATAGGCAAAGGCGCTCTCTCGGAAACCTGCAAGTAGAGATCCAGGAAACAATGGTTCTGAGTAGCCTTGACATCCCATCCTTCTGCCTTCTCTGTGCAACCTTCTCTTCATAGGAAGGGAAACTGAGGCCTGGTGTAGGAGGGAGGTCTGGTACAGAGCACAGACAGAGTCAAAGTGGGGCAGAAATCATATCAGAAGTTCTGCACAGAGGATGGGGTGGCAGAGGTCTCCCCTATAACTGCCCCCCCTTTTTTGTACTACCTTCCCTGTTTCATTAACATCACCCTTAGCAAGTTCAGAACATCACCCTTAGCAAGTCTATACCTCTCCTGTTGGACAAAAAGTATCTGGGAAACATTCTTTTTAAGACCAGGGACTTAATCTATTATCTCTCACGTGATACTTGCATTTTTGAAATGAGCCTTCAGAAAGAAGGCAAAATGTAACCTAAAAAATAAATCAGCAGTGATGGAATTCCAGGCCCCAGGAAATGTTAATGGACAGGAGGAGCTGGTGTACTTCTAAAGCTCCTGGGCCCCAGATCACCTCCCTGGTGCCTCCCCCTCAGGTCCACCATAGAACCCTCTCTGAGGGCCAGATTTGAGAGGCAGAGAAATAAACCAGCAGAGCTTCCTTCTCTTTGTCTACACGACATCCCTGGAGCCTGTTCAGAAAAGTACACTACCCAGCCACCTGTGGTCAGTCTAGGTCAACTGAAGATTATTTGAAGGATGCTGGAAGTAAGCCCATGCCCTGCACAGGGTCAAACATACAGTTGAAAATAGGGGAGGGTGAGCTAAGGCAGACACTGTCCCTGGAATGCTGGGGTGGGGGCGGGGACGGGGTGGAGGCACAAAGACTCCCTGATGAGCCACTCGCAGGGGGCCTGGGTTGGGCCAGCCTGGCCACTGACTTGTCTACACCGCTTTCCTCCTTGGTGTTCTCAGCCTGAACTATCCTCGGGGAAGGCCCTAGTAGGTCTGGGCCTGTGGCAGGGGGAGGCCTACTTGCAGAGGAGTGTCTGGCTCCCAGACCCACCAGCTTCTTCTTGCTTAGTCTGTGTCTGAGAAAGGACTAGTTAGGACCAGGTTCTGGTACAAGACTCTAACCAGCCTCTGAACCCGAGAGAGTGTAGGCAATGGGAGACGCCAAGCGCAATGCTAGCCCCCATATGGAAGAGAATCCACCTGTGCCATGGGCCTCTGTTAGGGAAACCCAAACCTAGCCAGAGGCCAATGGCCTTGGGAGAGGCCAGAGATTCAGGGGGAAATCTCTGGGTCCTTCTATCCTAGCATTGGACTGAGAGGACATGCTCTTGGAGGCCTCACAGACCACCAGAGAGCCAACCAGGACTGGACAGAGACCTTAGCCTAATCCTACCCCTAATACTTACTATCTGCATCACAGGGCTTTGTCCTCCTCTCCCTGCCCAGCCAAAACAAACAAACAAACAAACAAACACCCCAAGGTGTATAGTGGCAGTTAAGAATATGAACTCTAAAGCCAGATTGCCTGGGTTCAAACTTGGCTCTTCCACTTACTAGATATTAATAGCTATGTGACCTTGGCCAAATGGCTTGACTTCTCTGTGCCTCAATTTTCTCCTCTGTAAAACAGGGTTGTTATTATTATCTGTCTTATTGTCATTCCAAGAATTAAATGAATTACATGTATATTTAAAGTGCTTAGAATAATACCTTACTTACAGTAAGTACTACATAAACATTAGCTACCATTGAGAAGTTCTTCCTGCTGTCTGACCTCACTCACTACTGTTTCAGATTCAGGCCAATGCTTCCTGTTTCTTCAACCAAGGACAGAGCCCAGCAGCTCCTGACCCACTCTAGCATAAATCACCTGGGCCATCAGAACCCTGTAAAGCAGACTGTCCCTCTCTAGCTTCTCTTTCCAGCTCATAGCATCTCGAGACCTTTCCATAAGAAGCCTAGCTATGAGCAGACAGGAAGGGCTGGGGATTGGGCTGGAACCTTCGAGGGGGTTCTGGGAATTGGTGGAGGCTGCAGAAGAGTAGACACTGCTCTGGGAGGTGGGGCCCAAGGAAGGCAGACTCAAGCTGGGGAGCACACCCTGTGTTTATCTCTTGCCTTTTATCTGTGGAACTCTGAATATTTCTCTTATTGCTGAAGGAGTCATCAACACACTCCTGGGAAAAATGGCAATACTCAGACCTCCAGAGGCACCCCAGGCCTCAGCAATCCCCCCATGGAACACACACACACACACACACACACACACATACACACACACAGAGCAAAAAGGGGATGCCAAAGGTCACAGGGTTACAGAGCTGGACCCAGCCCCAGCTCTCTCAGCTCCCAGGTCTGACAACTTTCTGCGGAAGGGTATCTGACTCTAGGGAAGACCTGCGGAGTAAGAAACCCAGGTAGCCCAGTTCACAGTTGCTATGGCCCTGTCTATGCATGGCACCAGGAAAGAGCAAGAGACTAGTTTGCAGGGTTGTTCCGGGCCAACCATCACCTCCCAGGCTCTGCTACATTCAAGGACAGGCCTGAAGGAATATGGAGAAATGTATCCCACAGCCTGCAGAGAACACCCCTACCTATTCCAGGCAGCTAAAGATTCCATCTCATGGCCTCTGGTAGCTGGTCACAGCCTTTTGTAGGTGTGACCAGGCAGTGTTTATGTGGCCACCCTCTGTTCCAAGCATCCAGGCCTTGGAGATGTCCAGCCTACTGGGTCTGCCTCCAGCTCCCATTCAGGGCCCCAGTTTCGGTCCTGGCCCCAACTGTCTGGGGCAGACGCAGGCACTGTGCCATCTGGCCAGCTGGAGGGGGAGAGGGGTGGGGCCATGGCCAGCTGGGCTGCCCGGAGCACTGAGGGGGGACTCGTTAAGATGCACAATTAGCCGCCCTGCCTTTGATCTGGGACAGGGACTGCCAGCATCTAAGTGGAGTCAGCTGCTGCTACAGGCTGAAGCCAACGGCCAGGAAGGGGCTGGGGGAGGAGGTTTGGATGGCAGGGGAGTGTAGAAGAGAGAGGATTCAGGAGCCCGTGAGAATCCCCGAGTGCTTAGAGAAGCTTGAGCTCCACCCATTTGAATCAAAGAAGGAGGGAAGGGGAAAGGTCTGGTCTCCATTCTCTCTGTGCAAATAATCTGTGCGTGCTCGTGCTCGTGTGCCCGGGCTGCGAGAGAAGGAGAGAGTTGTGTGCATGTGAGAACACTTAGGGATGACATTGAATGTGGGTACATGTTTGCACAAACATAGGTGTGTGTGTGTGTGCATGTCAGTTTCATTTCTTGGACTACTCTTCCATTGCACCAGTTCACTTCTGGGCACACAGTGAGAGATCATGGCCTTGTAACTTCGGAGGAAGTATGGCAGGAAGTTGAGTGCAATCTCTAAAGTGAGCTGGCCTGCATTTCAGTCTACAGCTCACTTACAAGCTGTGTGACTAATGGCAAGTTACCCAACTTCTCTTAGCTTCGTTTGTAAAATGAAGATAATAATAGGACCTACCACATGGAGATTGATTGATGACCCTAAAGTATAGATAAAGTGCTTTTAGAATAGTGCCTGACTCACGGCAAGTACTTCATATGTGTTGGGTGCCATTAGAATAATAAAACCTTAGCTGATCCTGGGATATGACTGCCTGTGTCTCTGTGTCCCCATCTGAGTGCCACCACATACTCCAAGCCTGGAGACCTAGGCATAAAACAAGACTCCTTGAGGACAAATCTAAAAGGGAGATGGGAAAAGAAAGAGCCAGGGCCTTGGAGAGCAGAGGCTGGACTATCAGATTGATGGCCTTCCCTGTGCCGGAGCGTGGCTCACAGCTGGGCCTCATGCCCCCTCTTTCCATGTATTCTGAATGGGACTGGGCCTCAGGAAGAACAGTACCCCAGGACCTGCTGTGTGACTCTATTACACTCCTTTCCATCAAGCCTCTCCCTGTCTTCTCATCCCCTCTCACTCCAGGGCCCAAGTCTAGCCCGAAGCAGCCCCTTCCTCAAATCTCCCTTGGGTCCCTGCATCCTGAGTGGGAGATGGATGGGTTCTCTAGTCCTCACAATGAAAAGCTCTCCTCTAGCAGATGTTCTGCCCAATACCCCACCCGCCCAGGCACCAACCATCTGGGTCCTAGAACAAAAAGCTGGGGATAGCAGTGCCCTTGGCACTTAGGTCACAGCTGCCCCTGGGCTCGGTAAAGCAGCTGGCCTGGACTGGGAGCTCTCCTACAGCTTTTTTCTGACTCTTTCTAGGCCTCTAGATGCCCTTCTCCTTGTCCCTCACCCCTCCCCGCAGGCTCCAGGACCACCCCCCATGCCCTCTCTTTGGCTGGGTAAAGCCCTATTATATGCCCTAACCTTTCTAATCACCCGCTCCAGGTGCTCCATCTCCCTTCTCACTTTCTCCTACATTGTTAGAAGCCCAACCCATCTCAAGGAAGGTGTCCGGACAATTAGATGACAGTATTAAGATGGAAGGCTCAAGGGACCACCTCCTCCCAGCAGTCTCTGAATTTTAAACATGGCAGAATGCACCTTAAAGAAACTCCATTAGCAGCCAGAAGAAGGCTCAGCACCCTGATATTTCACTTAGGTGAATCTGAGGTCACCCACGATGGACAATCCATAGCTTAAAAAGAAGAGAGTCTTGGGGAAGGGCCCAGACAGGGGCTGGCTACCACCAAGATTGGTTCCCTGGGATTTAAATTTAGCTAGTCTTTGAGATCATGAGCCTAGATGGACCAGAAAATGACCCCAATGAAGGTGAACCCGGATGTGGAGTAAGGAAAGGGCACAATAGTGGCCCTTGAAGGGGAAAGCGGCAATTCTTTCCAGAAGCCCAGAGTCCTCTCCGCAGAGACAGAGGTTAAAATGAGGTGTCCGAATGCGGGGATCAGGAGCTGCAGAGGTACAACCGGGTTCTGAGGCGGGTGGAATGTGCCCTGGTCAACTGGTGGAGGCTGGATCAGCTGTCCCATCCCCTCCCCAGCTAGGTGCCTCCCGCCTACCCCCACTATCCCTGGCAAGTCTCCTCCTCTACCCCAACCTCTCCCCTGACAGTCCCCCCAGCTCACCTCCAGCTTATTAAACTGCAGGTGAACCCAGGAGCGCCTGGCGCCATTCCAACCCCGCATGCGAGATTGCTCAGAGCTCACCCCTACTATCAAAGACCCCATGTCCTCCACCAGGCCTCATGGGCCCTCACGAGGCACAGGACACCTGGGTTCACTCACTCTAGAGGGGACAGGAGGACCAGAGGGGAAGAGGGGACAACGAGGCCTGGGAGAGGGGTGAAGAGCTTGCTTCACCTCACGCCTCCCAAAGTAGCAGGGGTGAGAACCTCAGCGCCAGCCCGAGACCCCAGGGAGCTGAACCTGAAATTATTGTGTCCTCATCGCTGGCCTGGCCTAGCGCTAGAGGGAGATGAGGGTTTTGGGGAGCGTGGGTGACCTAGAAACCCGCAGTGGGAGCGGGTGAGCGCCGGCCAAGCCAGGCCAGGGCATAATAGATGCAGAGGCCTGTCACTTCGTGTAGGCCAGCGCGGCCAGCAGGTAGCAGTGGGGCGGAGCGCCCGGCCCAGGATGGGGTGGTCAGCCGGGGTCGGGGCCACTGCTCTCAGACCGCTGAGAGGCTTGGGGCTGCAGGGCGGCCGGGGCCAGAGCACGGGGCCGGAGCGCGGGCCGGGATTGGGGAGTAGGGGGGCGCCCTTTCGAGAGCTGTGCGGCTGGGCCCGGGAGCCGTCTGCCGCGGCCCGCGGGGATTAATTCGCGGCTGCATGCCGCCACACGCGTCGGGCTGGGCTCTGCCGGGGAGAAACAGCGCCCCAGGCGCGCGGGGGAGAGAGAAGGTAGAACCGCGGGGGCGGAGCCGGCGACCTGGGGCTGGGCTGGCGCAGGCAGAGTGGCCCCTGACTTGGGGGCCCAGGGAGTGCTCGAAAGGATCCTGGTGAAAACCGAAAGGCTCTGGCTTCCTAAGTTCTCTCTGAAGTTGAGGGTCCATGGGGTGTGACTCTGCCAAAAGCCTTAGTCCCCAAAGCCAAAGGGTATAGGGGTATCCCTCCCTCTTCCTCCACAGTCAACTGAGAATTGGACAAGTCCCAAGGAGCCAGGTTCCCCCAGTGCCCCACACAGGGTCCCCACACAGTCTCACCCAAGCAGCTGAGAAGAGGGACAGATACCTAGCTTGGCCCATGCAGGAGGCAGGACCCTCATCTTTCCCAAAAGACTCGAGTCAAGACCTAAGGTACTAACACAGGATGTGAATGGAAATGAGTGACAAAACCTCCCATTGTCTCCAGCCTAAGCCACTCTAGGGGTTGCCTGGGTGGGCCCTAGGTCACCCAGCAGTAGGGGAGGAAAGACAGGAGTGAGCTGTGGTTTCTCTGAGCTGTGAGGGGAAGAGGAATTGTCAGGGCCGCCTGGCCTGCTGGGCATGAGGCATGCACATACCTAGTACCTCTGATTCAGAGAGGGTTTTCCGGGGTGGCGAGGATGACACAGAGGCTGGTGGTGCACCCCGCCAGGAAGAGCTCCTGCAGAAGCACAGACCTTTTACCTGCCCAGGCTTTCCTCATCTATGCCACTTGGCAAAGTCCCCGACCCCTCTTCATGCTGATTCTGTGTACTTTATTACAGGCTCTCCAATCTCAAGGCTGTTTGCTAGGTAGAGAGTAAACTGAGACAGGTCACAGATATAGATATTTCCTGGGCCTGAGATTTGCAGTGTCAATGACAGGGCAGGATAAGCCAGGAGTCCAATTCTCAGGCATGGAACTTGCCACCCTCAGCCCGCATGGCTCAGCCTGGAACCACATCTGCCCCATTTGTCTGTCCCCACCCCCAGACACACACACACTGGGCCTTTCTGAGATCAGATAGAAGCAGGAGAGCAGGATACTGGCAGATGTGCACCTGGAGAGGTCGCCAGCTTGAGGAATTGGGTTGGGGATGGCTGGCAGAGAAGTCCTGGGGCGGAGGTGCTGTATGGGTCAGACAGAGGGGCAAGGTGAGGGGCAGCTACCTCTGCTGAAGATGGGACTCTCGTAGGGGATCTTGTTTCGAGTCTCGAGACTAGAGCAGTTCCAGCGCTGGTCCCGGAACTGGTGCTGGCACTCGTGGATGGCAATCTGGATGCCCTGGATGGCTGAGGCAGCCACATCAGGGTGGCGCACACACACCTCCATCTGCCGCCTGCTCAGGCCCGGCAGTGTCAGGCACACTGTGTTGGCGTTGAGCACAGGCTCCGGGGGAAGGCGGAGGCCCAGAATGTCGTTTGGTGCAGACCTGCAGACGTGTGGGGTGGAGGTGGGTGAGTGTTTGGGGGGCTAGGAGGACCCCGCCTAACAATACACGGTCTGTCCCAAAGGTCATAATTCCTCCCTTCCAACCTTTGCCTTTGAAGTTTGGGCTCATTAGTATACCCTTAAAGCATTCTCCTTTCCTTGACCTTCTCACCATTATCCCCTCCAACAAGACCCACCCAGCTGCACACTCACAGACATTACTATGTGCAAATGCACACACATCCAAAGTGCCTGTGCACACAGTATTTATAAGTACATCCCCAGGCATAGATGCTCACATATGCAGCCTTTCCCAGGAGACCCCTCCCAAAGACAGGTTTCAGACAGTCATATTCTCACAGACATACTTCTGCACATCGAGGGGGACACACAGGCTCAGAAACACTTACACACATGCACACTTTATTAAACAGCCGCACACACACATACACAAAGACACTTGCAAGTACACACACACATTCATCTTGATATACATTGACTCATGAGCTCTCACATTCACACATATATGCACACACAGACTGCTGTTTACAACACAGCTTGCTGGGCTCACTGGAACACACACACACACACGCACACACACTGAGAACCTTTCCAGCTGCAGTCTCCCATTGACCCCTCCTGGGCTATACCCTTCCAGCCCCCAACCCCTGCCCCTGTCTGGAGGCCATCTCCAAGGTGGGGCAAAGCATTTTGAGCTTACTCCTGGGGTGGGGGTGCATTCCCCCAGCACAGCAGGGACTCCAGGATAGCATTTGCCCCCTAACCTATACCCTCCCTTCTAGTAGCCATCATTCTCCTGGGCACTGCCCTGTCTCCCTGAACTGCCCATATTCTGTCACCAGTTCGACCTCCTCCTAGGAGGGCACTGTCTTTCACTGTGCACCAGGCCTTTCCTGCCATACTGATCCTCCCTCTTTCCGGGGTCCTCTGCCCCAGTAGGAGCACCAGAGGCCCCTATGGCTGGGGGTCCCAGCTCTCCAGGAGGGCGGAGCATAAGGTGAGGTCTCACCTGGGCACAGCGGCAGCGAGCAGCAGTAGAAAGAACAGGAGCGCGCAGAGCGCAGGCCGTGGCTGGGGCCGAGGTTGGAGCCGAGGCCAGGGGCAAGGGTGGGTGCTGCCCATGGCGCGCGCCCTGTGGCGGGCGGGGATGGGGGGCTCACAGCCCGGTGGGATCGATGAGTCAGGGGCGACGGCGCATGATCCGCGGGGGTCGGGGCGGCTGCGACACACAGCTCCGACTTG